TAGTTCAGTTCTATGAGGGCAGTTCTATAAATGGTCAGAGTATTATGATCCAAGAATCTGGCTTTGATGATCTAGTTTAGTTATTGAAAGAAAGGCAGTGAATCTTGAGTAATGAATATTTTATGTGCATCCTTTAGATTGGTCTTCTCAGATGCCAGTTTTCTTGCATGGCAGAAAATTCAAACCAAGGTTAATAAGAGTATTTAAAGGGAAGGCACAGTGTGATGTTGACTGAAAGCAGATCAATATGCTCTTGCTTTTAGGCACAGCAAAGACAAAGATGATGTAATCTTATAAGATGGGCTGGTAAGTCTACTGTAATGGGGGCAAAACCATAGCTTTACAGTCTAGTGCCTCTCAGGTACTCAATCAGATATACAATGGAAGCCCCAGAGTTACACTCCATAATGCGTAAATGATGTCTCCTGAGCCTTGAAAATGTGGAGGCAGAAGTCATGAAATACTTGCTTCTATTAAACAAAACTTTGAGCAACACTGCATTCTGCCAGCCCTCTAGGAAAGACCAGGAAAATAGGTAAAGCCCCCAGGCAAGTAACAAAATTGACTGGCTGTATGAAATTATTTAGGGTTTTCTGTAGAGTTGCTCTCCATTGCCTCAAAATGACGACTGGTGGTTTTCATATGATTGAGCCTCTCATTGGCAGTAACAAGTTCTCCTGCTTCTTTAGTACCTCCCTAAAAGTAAGGCCCTATTGTCAAATGCAAGAGGATGACTGTCCTCCTTTCTGTTACATCAGGGAATCACACATCCAGTAGATATAGAGCCTGTACCATACTGTCCACATACCAACTTAAAAAGAAAGTAAGCATGATGATCAGTGGTTCAAACACAATTATGGACAATGGAGGAAGGAAATTGTCTTAGTCCATTTTGTGCCACTGTAACAGACTACCTAGGAGTGGGTAATTTATAAAGAACAGAGATATATTTCTTATAGTTGTAGAGGCTCAAGAGGCCCTGGGTGAGAGCCTTCTTGCTGTGCCATCCCATGGTAGAAGGCAGAAGGACAAAGAGCACATGTATGACAAAGAGAGAGAGAGAGAGAAAGTGTTGTCTTTGTTCTGTCTTTTCTGTTCTATCCAGGACGTCAGCCTATTGAAGGGTACCTGGCCACACTGATGGTTTATCTTCCCCACCCACTCCGCTGACTCCCCCGAGTCTCCTCGGGAAACACCCTCACAGACACACCCAGAAGTAATATTTTACCGGTTCTCTGGAATTCCTTAATCCAATCAACTTGACACCTAAAATTAACCATCACAAAAACTATTTAAATAATGTGGGGAATTCTTTTAATGAGAGCATTTAAATTGCATGATAGGAAATTTATCTCTATGATTGACATTTGATTATTTTCCAGAAAGATTGATATAATCTGTAATCATGGAGACTTCAATGTGTCAGATCATTAATTTTTTAATTAAAATTTAAAATGAGTCTAGGTAGTATTCCATATGGATTCATTTATTTCTGTACTTTGTTCCTGATTCCTGTCAATCTTTGATGAAATATCAGGATTTCTCTTTTTTTAGCTTTATTGAGGTATAAATGACAAATAAAATTGTATATATTTAAAGTGTACACCATGATGTTTTGATATACGTGTACATTATGAAATGATTACCACAATAAGCTAATTAACTTGTCACTTCACCTAGTCACTTTTTTTAAATGAGAATGCATAAGATCTATTCTGTTAGCAATTTTCAAGTATACAACACAGTATTAACTACAGTCACTGTGCTGTTTGTTAGATCCCCAGAACTTACTCATCTTATAACTGAAAATCTATACCCTAAACCACTCTATCTTTAATATTCTTCATTGTGGATCTTGTTGACTCCTTTATTCTCCTTTCAAATAAATATTTTATGATTACGAGTGTAAGAATAGCCATGGTTACAAAATATTATCACTTTTCATTATTATTTTTATTGCTACTATAACAAATCTTAAGCACTTACTACGTATCAGGGACCATGATATGTGCTAGTGAGCAAAACCAGGCCCAACCCCTGCCTTCATAGTCCTTATGCTTGGATAGGAGTATATCTAACAACCACGTACATTATTGTGTAATTACAAGTTTGATACATGCTATGAATGGAGATATACAGAACTAAATAAGCTTGACTTGAGTTTGAAATATCTTTGAGACTTGCAAATAGAGATGTCAAATAACAGTTGTTTCTGTGTGTGTGAAATTCAAGGGAAACATGAACTTGACAGCCATCCACCCACAAATAGTAATGGAAACCCTGCTTACATGTGAGATTACAAGTACACTCACAAGAGAAGAGAGTTTACTGCAAAACAAATCAGGAATGCTACAAATTAATGGCCAGGCGGGAAAGGATGACCCTAAAAATGATTCTGGAAACATCAGAACCAGTGGGGTAGGAGTAAAACTCAGAGGGTGATGTTAGGAAACCAGTAGGAGAAAGGGCCCTCACAGTGAGAATCAGGTAAGGGGGAGACTCAAGCATCCACTGGATTCAGCAGTGTGGCCAGTGAAGATCTTACTGAGAGCCACATGACAGGAAAGCACACTGAAGTAGGTTGCAGAGGCTCCACCAGGCCAGCACAGCCAACCTCTCGGAGAAAAGGAGAAAAATATGGCCATGGGTAGCCTTGGGGCACAGAATAATTTTGCTTATTTGTTTTGTATCTTAAAATATCGAAATGCCAGTTGGAAGAGAAGAGTTCAGAGGGCGTGACTAAGGCCAGTCTCCCACCCCTAGGTTTCTGCTTTAATCTGTGTAGAGTAAGGCCTGAGCATTAGGGTATTAAAAGCTGACCAGGTGACTCTAATGTGCAGCCATGTTTGAGAAGCACCATTCTAGGTCATATATATGCCTCTGTGTTTTAATGTAGCATTATTATGCCAGTGTGTCCAATATCAAGCACCAGACATGCTAGTCCTCTGACAGATTTACCTGGTGGCCAGTGACTTCACAAGATCACCTTTCTGATCCATCTCAGGGAAGTTATCATCTAGTGTTAATCTACATTAGCTTGTCAACTTGGTTCACATCATCCTGTCCCCGTGGGGTTCTTTGATCTGCTTCAGTAGACAATTTCAGAGTGACAACCTTTTTAATAGGTTTCTCAATAAAGACAAAGGCAAAGAAATCACTTATCTTTTTCTTATCTCTTTTTGGTGTTTGGGTATGTCTTTCATACTGATTGTAAGGTATCACATATTAATATTAAAGTACTTTCCATCCACTCATTCAATGAATTATTTTGAAAGTTTCTATCATGTCATAATTGATATTTGAATACCCTTTTAAAGTTCTACACATATATAAATATATACCATCTTAGTCATAAAATGGCACAATACCTGGTTTTCACTAGAGGAAACAGAGGCTAGGGAAGTTACTTTAACAAAGATAACAGCTAAAAATAGTAAAAAGCATGAAGTGAGGTCCTCTGAAGTCATATCCACAAATCTCTCTGTACTTAATGCTTCCTCTCCAATAGTGGCAGTTATTTTACAGAAATACCCCATCTAACAATTTATCAAAATGAGATGTATATTACACTGTATCTGTAGAGAGAAGGCAGCTACAACCACCACAATGGAAGGTCAGGGTGTAGAAGCTGCCTTCGGATGTTAGTAGACAAGGCATGTGGAAATTGAATCCTTCAGATGCAGACCTATTTTGTATTCATGTCGACTCATATAATTTTAGAGCTGGAAAGAAATCATATCTAAAATGCTTTATTTTTGAGGTGAATGAATTGACATCACATCTAGTTAGTAATGAAAATAATATTCAAATGCAGCCATCTTAAATATGTTCAGTGTGTTTTTTCCCAGGTGTATCAGAATAACAATTAAAATTATCAAAATATTCATACTTGAGGAACATGGAGAAAATAGAATCTACTTTTAAATTGAGTAAAAAACTGCTCTGGAACTCTCTAGAATCTAGTTTCTGGAGGTGCACACTCCATTATGGTAGCCATTAGTCATATGTAGCTATTTAAATTTGAACAAAGTTAAAAATTTAGCTCCTGATTAACTCTAGCCAGATTTCAAGCGCTCACTAGCTTCATATGGTTTAGTGGCTGCCATATAGAATAGTGCAAATCATAGAACTTTTTCATCTTTGCAGAAAGTTCCATTGAATAGCACTGACCTAGGGTGTAGATCATACCATTCTTTAATCCATGAGCATCGCTGGGTTTTCCTGGAAGCATTCCATAGAACTAGGGGCAAAGTCAAAACCCATTTGACTTTATTTATTGGACATGCTGCCCCATGGTTTTAAAGTCATAATTAGAAAGACAAGGATAACTTCCTTAGAAGAAAACGAGTTAGATTGTTCATCCAATAGTGTTCCTACAAGAGAAATCTGCTGCTACACAGTTACAGCGTAAGAGAAAAAGTTAAGAATGTTAAGGGATTATTTTTTAAGGCTGATGCAAAAATAGTTTATTATGATATAGTTTATGTAAAGTTAGGTAATATTTATAAGATAAAAAACGATCAGCTACATCCAGGGAATCGATCATGTCACACAAAGGAATAAATATTGACAAAGGAACACTTCAATTATAGTGAACAGTTGATCACAAACTTTGTAAGGCAAAAAAAAAGCCTCAAAATTTCCCCTCCCCTCCCGGCACGCACCCCCGCCCCCTCCCCGCCTGCCACCAAAAGAGAGCAGCAGCTCAGCTAGTCAGGCTTTCTCTGTATTTAATAGTGTAATAATATAAAAAGAGACAACATTTTTTAAAAGCTAGGTAAGCAAAGTTGTGAGTAGGATACATATGAAGACTACTTGCAATACGCAGTTTCATCTGGGAAAAAAAGAACATAACAAAACCACATGTCCCTTAGAAAAGTCTGTCTTTGAGTGATGTGTATGGGTGAGGGTATGTGTCTAAGTCTCAAAGGAAAACAGCAATGTATTTTGGTTTCAAATTGTCTCAGTTCCCTATAATTCTATTTTGATTTCCATTTCAGGTCAATGGTGGAGAGAAGCGGCCTGCCTCCGATATGGGGAAAAAACCAAAAACTCCCAAAAAGAAGAAGAAGAAGGACCCCAATGAGCCCCAGAAGCCTGTGTCTGCCTATGCGTTATTCTTTCGTGATACTCAGGCCGCCATCAAGGGACAAAATCCAAATGCTACTTTTGGCGAAGTCTCTAAAATTGTGGCTTCAATGTGGGACGGTTTAGGAGAAGAGCAAAAACAGGTAAGGCATTCCCAGTGGAGTAGGAATCCACATAAGCTGAGATCGTGCAGTCTGAAGAAATGGCTTCCCAGGGCTTTGGGTGAATTCTTTAGATCCCAGGACAGACACTGAGAATGTGTCCCCACCCGAACCAGACTTTCTGAGACGTTCACATAATGTTATACTCCTTTATTACTCCTCCATAAATAGCATGTTGATTCCTTTGTTTCAAAGTTTATATAGTGTAGTTACTTTTGGAAGCACTTTTACATATCCCAGCCAGGATTGCGTTATTCCTTAATGTTGCCAACAGGAACATAAAGACTGAAAAAAGTCCTAAAAGTATTTTGAAAACTGTCCTCACCTCTCTTCAGCACTTACTATTTACCCTTTTGTCATCAAAACCCTCTTTGCTAAATGAACCTCAAATTCAAGGGTTTCCACCCCTAGCCATTCCCTAAAGACCGCCAGGGGCTGTTATTCAATCCCCCATATGTATTTATACCATATTTTTAGGCTGCGTTAAATGGGACCAGATGCCTGTTTTTTATCTTCTCTCATGTATCGCTGTGGTGTAACTGAGGACCATGCTCAGGGAAGGCCACGTGAGACACCATGGATACAGCATATGTGGCTCAGAAGGTTTAAAGAGGATTGGAGTCACAGAGAGAGTGAGGGTTCAGTGAAAGGATGGAACCCACCTAAACAAAAGAACAATGTTGATCCCACATTTTTAAACCAGGATCTAGATGGCCATGGTCACCATCTAAAATCTCAAGATCACAAAGAAAAATTTCAAGCATCCTATAAGTGATTGAAATAACTATGTAAATCAGTTTTAGCCACTGCAGAATACTGAATTGCATTAATATGAATTAGTCTCATGTTTTATTCTTAATTAGAGACATCGATCTTTCCTCATCATGTCCAGGCATTATATAAAATATAGAAAAGCCCACACCTATTTATGCATCTAGAAGGACCTATATATTGTGTTTATATTATATATTAACAGCTATAAAGTACATAGTGTCTTATAGTTTTAAAAGCACTTTGCATTATTTATTTGATTTGTTCTATTCAATACTCATGGATATACAGGGAAATTTTTACCCAAATTTTGCTGATTATGAAATGGGGCCATATAAATTAAATTAATTCATTTGTTTATTTAACAAATATTTGTTGAGCACATATGTGCCAGGCACTGTTCTAGGCACTGGGGATAGAACAGAGAACAAGACAAACAGACCCCCATTGTGTTGAATGATTTGTCTACAATTACATGCCTGGTACATAGAATTACTCTGAATAAAACTTGTCACTCAACTTACAATGCTTTTCCTAACAAACTCTATGAAATCAATGATAGGGATAATGATAGAACCAGTTGCTAAGGAAACATAGAACTTGCTCTTCCAGGTAGCTTCAATCGCTCTTTTCTATAAGTCAAAGCTGTCTTCTGCAATCTGAAATATCTATGCATTTCCTTACATCCTTTTCAAGATTGCCAGCTTGAAGAAGTGCTGCTCTAAGAAAGCACAGGCCTGCCATATAGAGCCCTGTGTTGCAAGAGTTTTCTTCATGAACAGGAAACACACCACCAAATTGTTCTCTGCACACTCAATTAAAATACCCACTCACCGTAAGAGGGTAGTTGACGTTGTATTATGGGATTCTAATTGAAACATGACATATAGTTGCAGAATTTTAAAGCTCGTTTCTATTCTAACTTAGGTCAGTTTGCTCTCACACTCTCAAACATGAAGTGTGGTTTCCAACTGATGTTGGACAATCATGGTGAATTGCACAGTGACTTCATTTCTCCACTCAGCAGAGCCACACTAAATGAGAAACTAAATGTATCCCAACCAGCAATCCCAACCCCCTCCCTGTTCCCTTAATGTCACCTTAAGGCCTCCCTACTCCACCCATGATGCCACATATGAAGACATGGCTCGCTCTCTGATCCAGTAAGCCTTCTGTGCATTCTTGAATGTGCACCTGGCTTCAGTACCATAAACTTTTTTGCTTTGTGAGACAAAATTTCCTGGAGAAAGCATCCCAAAAGCACCTCCCTTCCCTAGAGATAGGGTGAAGCGATTCTTGTTCATCTGAAGACACACGATTCCCCTGTGAAGGGTCAGCCCCTCTTCCCTACCTGAGACTCAGTGACTGAACTGGGAGTATTGTTTCAAGGCTCATTTTGCCTCCTTGGTGTCTTTTTGTTAAACTCTTCATTTCTGGAAACATCAATCGCCTGCTCTGCCACTCATCTTACCTCTCTTATCTATCCTCTGACCCCAGTAACATTTTCCTAATTATTTTCCATATTCAAGAGCAGTGATTTTTAAAAAGGGAGGTCTGCAAAGGCCTTCCGTAGCCCATGATTGGTTCTTTATGTTGTCAATATTAAAAAATAAATACCTGTTCTCATGTTTCTGATAGAAAAGAATAATGGACTTATGATGAAAATCAGGTAGTTCCTCAAGGCAGTAAATACCAAGCAGCAGGTTTCTTCCCACTAATTCTACAGCTTTTTAATATAGCAAGAGGGTAATATTAAGATAGTATTTTGCCTTCTTTTTGTCTGACCATCAAATTATTTACAGACCCCAAAAATATGAGATTCAGTATTCTCAAATGTCATGTTAAAAAGGTAAATCATTCCCATTTTCCTATTCTGGCATTCAGAGAATTGAGGCTGGTCTCCCTAAGGTGGATATAATTACAATTATGTGTAAAGTTTCTAATTGTATATATATAATGGCAAATATTTTTCTTTCACTTTTGTGTGTTTCTCTCTTGTAGGTTTCATATGTTGCCTAGTTTAGTAAGTAACTTGTAATGAGTCTACCTTTGGGTTCCTTCTCAATGAAAACAGGGTTTTGGGGAGCAAATTCATTTTATAAAGGATAAAGTTACATAATAGTTGACATATATATCATTTGGTATTATAAAGTGATTTCACAATCAAAATCCAGTTGCTAAAAAAAATTGTGCCAAAATTGATAGAGATAACTTTTTTATCTTATGAAAGTAAATATTTTAAAATTTTAGCACTTAAGAGTTACTATAACAAGGCATTGGGATGACCAAAACAGTTTCAATCACTTCAAAATGATTTGTCCCCATGCTGTGTGCTTTTTTGACTTCACAGAAGTTCCACATAGCCTATCATTTGCACATAAAAGATGATTGTGCTTAATAAAGACAGTAAGACTGCAGATCATGCCAAGAGGTATGGTGTAGAACACACATTGGATGTAGGCCTGTGCCAGAACCAAGCAGGGAGAGGGTCAACTGAATCAAATCAGACACTGCTCACAAAAGGGAGCACATTGCACTGGCTGGGCCACTGCTCCTCTGCTCCACAGCAGCCCTTCTCTAGCAGTTTGCAAGAGTCATCAGCAGAGCAAACGTGCCTGCCTGGAATGCACATTTGGGCATCCAGAAAATTGCAGCAAAATATCCCAAAGTGTTATAATGGTGGATTACCACCTGTTCTCTCCCTTTGTGTTAACTCGTTGTGCCAACATACTATAATATCTCCATTTCAAACTTAAATTAATTGTGTTTTGTTCTCATTTAATATTCAAATTGGGGAGCACACATACCGCTATGTATTTTTTAAAAAATGTTCCTGGAGCAAATTTGAGGCAGACTACTAAAATTCAAAATTTTGAACAAATATGCGTGTTACAGAACAAACCCATGTGATGCTGTTGGCATTGTGTAGGCAGCTGGTTCCGGTGGAAGGCTAAGATTTCACGTGCCACAATTGTTCCAAAATCCTGTTGTCACCATAGCCCACAATTACGAACAGCGACAAATATAAACACAAACTGGGAAAAATGGACAAAATTATTGATGACTTATTGGGGGCCTCAGAAAATTACAATATTTAAGGAAAAATGGCTATTAGTGAGATTACAATTGAATGTTTTCTTGACAGCCAGAGGGAACATGACTAATAGAGCTGCTGTGTGTTTATATCACATGCTTCCTCATTGTGGAGTATAGGCGGGAGTAAGAAGCCACTGCAGAAGGGCAGATCTTTATTTTCAGAATCCATGGTGAGTGAGAAACAATATGTACTTTGGTTTCTGTGAAGAATCTTTCAAAGAAGAGAAATCAAAAGGAAGCTGAAAGAAGCGATAAAAATCCTCAAGGAACACAAAACCTCCCTTATGAATCCTTCCTACCAAAGCCACTGAACAAACTCCACATATCAGAGATCTCCCTATTTTAATACTTTGGAAGATGGTACTGAATCAGGAATGGGAGCAGAATTGTGTTTGAGATTCCAACTGGGGGTTTTAAATGCTAATGACTCGTAAGACAATGGAGAGCCCATTTCAGAAGCATACTAAGTTGTTTAAAAGGCACCAGATGGAGAAGGAAATAAAACATAAGTATTGCTGTGATGTTGGTCTCTGCTACTTGTCTTTCACTGACTGGAACCTACAGAGAAAGAAAAATAGTAAGTTAACAGTATCACACCCTTTGTATTAGGATCCTTGGAGTTTCAGCAACCCTCAGCATCTTTGTTACGAGGTTCCAGCTAAGTTTCCTGTCTACCTCCATTATTTCTGAACTCTCTGATTCTGGGCATTGTAGTGGAGGATCTGGGTGCACACATAATATATAACAAAACCCTACCAAATAAAAGAGCCCATCCTGCTTTGAAGCAGAAAGGGTTGGTCCAAAGAGCTGTAGAGCGTACTTGGGTCCTTTTTAGCCACGGCAAGCCGGCTCTTAAGTGAAAAAGGAAAGTCACCTTAAATCAGAACCAGATGTAAATTACTAAATGAACCTTAAGTTCCTAATTGGAGACACAGTCGGGCTGTAAGACATTTAGCAAATTACAAACAAAATGTTCTTGTTTACATTACATTAAATGGCTTTAAAGCTGCAGCCAAAGAGCTAAATAAACATGCTGTTATGCTAAAAATGGAGTGGAAAGCCTATTCAGAGTTTAGTGTATTCAGGAGAAACCACAGCCCACGGTGCCCAGAGCGTGTATTTTTGTAAATGCTAGCCCTGTCGTGGAAGAAGAGAGTGGATTTACCTCGAGATCCAGAGCCTAATGAGCAGATCTCACTTGCAGGGAAACTGTTTGAATACTGTTAACATATGCCTTCTTTCAGAATGCATAATTCATATCCAAGGATATTAGCCATAGCAGTTCAGCTCAATAGCAACACCTCATTATTTTATTCCTCAGTATTTATTCCTATGTTTGACGCCTCGTGAAATTACTGTTAATGTGTTTATATAAGGGCAGATCTGACACAAGTGGGAAGAATGTAATTTCCTACTCATTCTTTCCTGCTGCTGTGTCCTCTTCCCTGGTAGAAGTGGCAAGTGTAAATAGTTAATTTGCTTCAATTATGAGCCTGTCCTGCTAAATTAGAAGCAGCAGGGATATGAAGAGCCAGAATTATACTTATGAGGCAGCTGACAAATCCTCTGAGCCCACACAATCAAATCATTTCCTCCTCATTGGTGCTCAGAGACCCACTACATAAATGCTGCCGGAGGAGTTTCTTTTTCCCCCTATCTTCTGATAAAATTTGGATTTTTATGTCAACCATACTTAAGGTTAACTAAAATCCTGTCACACTATAACATTCACACATGTGTTTATCTTGGCCGTTTCCTTATAAACATTAAGCATTTTCCCAATTTTTTTAAAAACTAGGAGTGAAGGATATGTAAAACGATTGTTCACTTAAAAACTGTAGAATGTAAGCAAAGTCCATATTCATACAAATTTGAAACTGAGCCATGAAAATTATTACATAAAATGGTGAGCACACTTGTGAAATTCAGGTATTCATATATATATTTTCCATATATTATATATATATCCACACATACAATTAATGGTACATAAATGTGATTCTTGCATGACTTCATGGGCATAAGCATTTGTTGTACACATATGCAAATGTTCATATGCTCAGATACCATGGGAGCAGACATTTCATTTGAAATTTTTCATGATGTTGGCAGGAAGATAATTCAAACATAATACTCATTCAAGTCTGTTGTGTTTTATCTATAATTGGAAAAAAATGTTTGGGTGGATTGTATATCTGTGTATCAGTCCACTGTTTCCATTGATACACACTGTAATTTAGAACATGCACTTCAGTTTCAACCTTAGCACACATACTAATGCTGATTCATAGAAGGAGAAACCTGAGACCATGGATTACATGCTCAATAAATGAGCATCTACTATGTTCCAAGCATGCTGGGGCTTCAGCAGTGAACAAAAGAGACCAGGCCTTGCAGTTGTGTGTCTTGAAAGAATCAAAAGTTCTCATGGCTAGGAGGAACCATTGAGCCAACAAAGATGGGACATTTGACACCAGATTGATTTTATTCATACCATAGCTTTACCATATACCTGTTCTAATATATTAGGTAAAATAATTGCCCATTCTAGTCTGTTTTCTTATCTGCAAAATGGGAATAATAATGCAATGCAATACTTTTATTGAAAAAATTAGAGGTAATATATATAGAGAGAGAGCATGATCCAAAGAATGCACACAATGGAGGCATAATTTTAATGACTTTTTAATTTTAAATTCACAATCAGTGCCTCACACTACAGTAGGCACATATTGGGCACTCAATAGATTTGTAAGCATAATTGAAGTACATACTTTCCTTAGTCATCTTCATTTAATAAAGCAGATATGTTGTATTTTGTAGCCATTTTTTCAGGCAAGGACCTCACTTTGGATTCTTACCATTCCAGAAACAAGTTAAACTGATATTGCTAAGACCATTTACCATTTACATGGGTCAGACGATCCTCAAAAGGAATCCATAGCAAGATGTTTGTCACATTGTATGTTTTCAATCCTCTGAATATCACTCCCTAAAGGCCTTAGAGCTTAAGAAAATGCTGAGCAAGTTACACGAGATGGACATTTAACCACAAAGTTAAATGAACTAAGTTCTATGTAAAATACAGATGCACTCGCTCTAACTGACCTAAATAACAACAGTCTTCAAAGAAGCTGCAAATTTTTAATTACTAAAAAATATTGCATGGAATTATGGTTAAATTATTATTACTTATACGTTTCTAAGCATTTTCTGCAAACATTAAGTAGTAATGGGAAAAACTACATTTGAAGTTACCCAGAATGAAAAATGCCTTTAGTTTTTGGATAGAATCCAGAATTGGAAGAATTTTACATTTTTTCTTATTATTATTGTAAAGACTGTTGAAATAAACTATGACTAGAGATTAACTAAGGGCCAGAACAGAAAAGAAGGAAGGAAGAAGGAATTAAGCAGTATTTATAAAATTTTGCTTTTCTGTATGAGTTGGATGGATTGTTTGTTTAGAGAAGCAGCAGAAAGTAAAAGGAAAATGACAGATTGTATGAGAAATTTTTTCTGTTTCAGTTTGTCATATTCGTTGATATTGAACTGCTGATTTCAATTAGGGATTATTAGCTTATAAAAATATGTGTACATGCTGGTATTTAGAGCATTTCAAAAATGACTCAGTGAATCACTAGATCACATGACAGGATTTGAGTTCTCTAGAACTGCTATTTGATGACTATCTACGTATGTTTTAGTTTAGCCATTATATATGTTTTAGTTTAGCCACTGAGATGCAGTCCTTAGATGGGACATGGTAGGTTTCTTGGAATAACAAACCACAGCATATAACTTAGTTAGGACAGGATGAATTCAAAAGTGTTTGGATGAGTGGGGGGAAATGATAAATGATGTATTATGATTTTTAAATCCTCATCTGGCCAACTTTGTACTTTATTTCAAACAGCTGTGGACCATTTGGAAGCCATTTTGTAACTCAACTAAATACTAATATTTACTGTATGAATCACATACCTTTAAAATATTTGTCTTTCCCTAAGAGTGAGAGACCATTTCTTTCCTAAACTTAACTTTGACATAAATCAGACCCATCCTTTTCAGTTCGAAATTCTGTGCACTTGCTCGTGGCAGTGGCTGTTCGTTGCCAAATGCTGTCCTGGGACATCTTTGCTTTCTGTAAGCAGAGGACTTTCTTCATCTGTAATTGGAGGTTTTGAAATGTTTTCGAGAGGTTTTTTACTGTTAATTTTTAAATATGTTTTTTAAAGTAAGGATTGCCCCCACTTCACCTGCATGTGGAATGTTTATCATTATCATTCATTCATATTTGAGGTCTTTCTTCAGACATTTCCATTACATGTAGAATTCAAGCAACATCCTTGTCCAATTTCAGAAGGTAACATCAGAAAGGCATACAGAGTGTATAAAATGGGAGCCATCAGGTAGTTCTCAAAGATGGAGGTGCTAATTACTGTTGAAGAGACCACCTGAGATTTTAATTATGATCCAGGCTACTCCCCTTTCAACACAATTACAGGAATCTACCTTCTGAAATGACCCCCCTTTGAATTCTCCCTCTGAACATCTGCAGCTATTCAGGAAAGAGTGGATCCATCAATCCATGTAATGTGACATGATGAGTTTACTCTTTTCTAAAGTGGTATTTAGGCACTTATGCGATCATCCCGCATAGCCAATCATCAATAGCCAATAGGGAGCCATTTGTGGAAAACAGGGGACTCTGCATGCTAGTCAGGTATCCTGTAAGAACATCGATTCTGGAGGGAAACCAGGGGCACATATGCAGCCTGAAACATGTGGAGTTAGCCACCTTTCTTCCCTGGTTGTTAAGCAACAAATTTAAGGAAAGTTAACACTTTGTGTGATGCTAACTGCCAGAAGCTCAGCAAAGGGATAGCATTGTAGTCACACTGTTGCTGTTTCAGTAGAAACCAATGAAAGAAAAATGACAGATACTACAGTCAGACCATCTGGCAATACTGTCTTATCTGCCCCAACTTAGAAAATGTTGCTGTGGGCAATGCTATGGACTAAAGTGCTTTCTATTTGCCTTTGAAAGCAAAACACATCCTAGATAGCTGAATGGGAGTCACTTGGAGTAGCATATTAGTAAAAACATGATAGAAATGCTTAGGGTATACAAAGATGCGTTATCATAAAAGACGTATTGACTAAATGTTTGCTTCAAAGTCCTGAATAGGATTTCTATCTGTATGGGAGAAAAACCCTCTTAAAACAGTTTTAAGGTATTAAAAGCAAATGTAAACATTGTCAGTTTAAGGTCATTAATTATAAATTATGTCTCTGAGAAGAGGCTTAAAGAAAAACTATAAACAGAAATCTGTCTCTCAAGAAAAAAATAAATCAGTGAAAAGCAGGAGAGCTGTGTTTCCAATTGTGGCTGCACCAGGGCTTACGATATACACAGATCACACTGTTCAAAGGCACTTACCCGACTTTAGAATTTATTTGTTTTCACATGTGAATTTCCAAAAAAGAATTTGAATTTTACTTCCAATAATTACTTCACTAAATTTAGAGTACTCCTGTACTTAAACCGAAGGATCTATTGGCTTTCTGCAAAAAAGGAAAGCTGAAATATAATTTTTAAAGTTTCTTTAGTTTCATACTTAGTAAGATGCACATTGATTATATGATAATATTGTACTAATTCTTAATTCCTTATTTTACTTGGCTTTTATTAGAACAAAATGCCAAATACAGAAATCAAGGCTGAAGCCCTCTCTTTAGGAGAAAAATTAGCACATTCATTTCATAGAGTCCTGTTATAATTCTGTTGACAAGGTTAGTCATTTGTTTACCTTAAGTAAAATGTTCTGCTTTAATTAAAATATTCATGAGTAAATAATATTTCTCACATCTCGAATTTCATAGTTGGTGTTGGGCTCAGCAAACCACAGTCAGCATTTGAAACCGTAAATTGACCCTTGCTGCCAAATGGCAGATATTTGGTCTTTAGACATAATTTATATTTAACTACTCTGACTTATTCTGAAGCCACTTTTCAATACTGATCTGTGTGTCTGTTTTTGAACTCAGCATTACAAAATATTAGCCAAGCCTTATTCCCTGCTGTAAAATCCAAGATGTGGGAAATTTAAAATAGCTGTATCAATGAAAATACATTTCCATTTACACAGTAAAGGATGAAAAATATTTTGTTCTTTCAGGCTGATTTCAAAATATCGCCAAAAATATACTCCAAAGCCTTGAAAGAATCAACTTAATGGTAGCAGACGGCCATGTGTGTTCACTTTGCTAATCTTTCATTTTCGACTCTAATGACTGCTCACTGTTTAACTTAACAATGTGACCTTTAGCATACAAGCAAGTCATTTTTCAGTCCTTTTGCTCAATTTAGGATGATTTTGCTTTTATTTTCAAGATGATTCCCTCTCAGAAATGGAAAGCTTCTGTTAACTGAAATTCATTTCAGAACATTTTTACCTTTTCAAAATGAGGTGTCCACAGATCCATGACATCCAGTGTTTTTCTTGGAAAGGATGTGACCAGAGTGGGCTGCAGGGCAGGGCACACATGCAGTCTGCAGCCACTTAGGCTTCCCATTCCTCTCCCAAACGTGTCCTTAATCACCATCACTGTTTCCTGAGTCTTTGAAAATAGAACTTCAAGGTTCCAAATCTTAAAACAGTGATGAACCTGCAAACTCCATTCTGTTTCCTTTGATTTGCTTATTGAACATGATTTGTCATCCTTAAATTCTGTCTTTGTTTTTTGTATTTAGCATGGAACATATATATCAGGATGTGACTGAGCTGTGGCATTATCTGCCCATTATATAAATATAAATGCCTTATTTACTCACGTGTGGTTTCCCTGGGAACCTTTGTCAACAGTATCTTTGTAACCCAACTGCCTCTACACTCATAGTTACCCAGATAAATCCTTTCATATGTTTTATGTAAAACCGTCAAGTTTTACTGTTTTTTTTTTCTTATCTGGTCTATTGCCATGCTTCTTAAAAATCTGTTTCAGTAAGAAAACACAATCTTTAGGAATATATATTTGATTATATAAGTGTATATGTGTGTGTAATTATTATTCTGTATTGTACGTCTCTGAAAACAAAGGCAGATGCACTTTCTAATTTAAGACGCTTTGCTGTTGTTGCAGGTCTATAAAAAGAAAACCGAGGCTGCAAAGAAGGAATACCTGAAGCAACTCGCAGCATACAGAGCCAGCCTTGTATCCAAGGTAATGTGCAGCTGTGTGATAGTGTGACGGACTGTGGCCATCTTGGGGCAGACTCCGATAGTCACTTAAAGACATAAAATATGACTTTCACAATTCTGCACAATCTTCTTTCCTGGAAAAAAAAGAAAATGTAAATTATAAACAAAGCCGTATGATATGGAAATATTTATTTAGCCCCAAAAGACCAGAACAGCATCCTCTGGGCCATTTCTAAAATATTGTCCACCTGTGGATGATTGGTTTTCTGGATTAGTCACAGTGCATTCTTCACCCTGAGCCAACTTTCTACTTCTCTGAATCACCCTCTTAAATTGCCTCCTGGCCCCCATGCCAATGGCCATTACTGAGGACTTGCCAACTGTCTGAAATCCTAGACTCATTATAGCAGCATTAGGAGATAAGCAGGCCCCAAAAATGTTTATAAGTCACATCATTTGAAAATAAAAACAAGGCTTAAAAATATTTAGTGATTTAGAATGTCTTAAAGACTAGTTCTTCCTGTTATAAATACTCAAGAGTTAACTCTGTTTGGTCTCATGTTAATAAAGGTACAATTTCCTATATGGAATTCTCGAGAAAGTAACCTCACAGAGATGGACTGAGTCTATATAAGCATTAGACACTGTTATCTCAAGTCCCAAACTGGCTGTTACTATGCTCACTGTGGTTTGGGACTCTGGACTTCATCCCATTTACCCTTAGAAAATGCTTTTTTTTTTGGCTGGGTGATGTGGCTTATACCTGTAATCCCAGCACTATGGGAGGCCAAGGTGGGTAGATCACAAGGTCAAGAGATCGAGACCGTCCTGGCCAACATGGTAAGACCCGTCACTACTAAAAATACAAAAATTAGCTGGGCATGGTGGTGCATACCTGTAATCCCAGCTACTGAGGAGGCTGAGGCAGGAGAATCTCTTGAACCTGGGAGGCAGAGGTTGCAGCGAGCTGAGATTGCGCCACTGCAAACCAGCCTAACAACAGAGCAAGACTCCATCCAAAAAAAAAAAAATACTTTTTGTCTCATTCACAATATCTAGACTCATTGTAACTCTAAAATAATTATGTAAATTATGTTTTATTGAAGAAAATACATACTGAATATACTGATGCAGAGAAGAAAAGAGAGCCCAAAATATAAATGCTTAAGAAATTTCAGTAAACTATTTCTCTAACTCAATCTTATGTTCTACTTCTAAGGTATGACACTGTGGGAAAACTTGCTAGGTATAATTTACCTTAAAATTTCTAGCTTTTTTGCATTATCTTGCACTTTCTAATTTATCTAACTCTTTCTGAAGCTATTTATATTTTCTGCTGATACCAAATGATATTTCTGCATGTTTCAAATAATGTATATAAAATTATAACCTAAAAAGTGTAAAATATTAGATCCATACAGCCATTGGATTAAATAGTCATGTTGATATTATTAACAGATTAATATGCCAAAAATATAAGAGGAGCTTTTAAAAAGTTAATTCTCTTTATTTCATCCAAGATAAGGTTATTTTTGAAGATTTTAAGTAGAGTTTTACTTAGAGCACTTTACATAGAGAAAATCAATACATGAAGTCTCAATCCCAATACAAAGCACAATACACAAAGTTAATGATATGCAGATTGCCAGAATGCTGTGATACTGACTAAGCCTTTACTTTCAAAACAAGTGTCCTCAGATTTGCTCTTAGCTGCAACTTTTCTTACTATTCAGTTTCAGAGTTGCAACCCGCAGTGTACGGCAATTTGTATAAATGCTGTGAATTGCCATTTCTGCATTTAAAAAACCAAGCACTTTTTTTACAGCTTACTCTGACATTTTTCTTCTCTTTGGCAGTAGGAATTTTGCTGGAGCTGTCGAATATCTATTTATGTACAACTATCTATTGTGTGTATACAAATTGAAGGAAAGTTACAAACATCCTCTCCAGGTTAAAAAAGTGACCCTCCAATGTTGTATGTGAATGGATATCTGCAGTGTAACGTTCTAGACATCATCAGAAAAATTTCCAGCCTATGCTCCCATAAAATATAATAACATATATAAAAGTCTAATTCTGTTTCCTTTTAATTATGACAAGGCAAATAATAACCAGTCATATTTTAAAATAATTTTTCTACATTATAATTTTTTTTACAACATTATGAATTATTTCCCTATTCTAAAAGACTTAGAAGGGCAAACAGAAAATGCTACATGATGTATCCCATAATAACAACTCCCAGGAGCCACCATGTGCCAGCCAAGCTCTGTTTTTCCCCACCCCCCACCCCCATTTGTATATTCATTTGACCAATCTTCCTGGGCTTGTCCTCTGTGCCAAGCACTGTGCCAGGCTCAAAGAATGCTGTGGAGAACAGGCAAATTCTTCCCCTAGACTTGAAGAACTTTCTCTTTCATCAAGGAAAATCATTAGTGAAAACATAAAGTAATAAATGTTTGAGATTTGAGAATCCAAGTGTTCTGGAGGACATAAAGCAAGGTCTCTGCTTAGGTGATCTGCAAAGACCTCTTTAAAGAGGTGACATTCGATCTGGGGATCAAAGGAGCACAGGAGCTTGCAAAACCAGAGAGCTAGAGGAAAGAGCTGGCCAGGCAGAACTACAACACGTGCCAAGATTCAGCGTGGCAAAATGTTTCCTTGAATTGAAAAGGTCGATGTGACCAGAGCTGAGTGAATGGAGAGAGTGTGATTTGAACTGAAGTTGGGAAAATGGGCAGAAGCTCAATCCTGAAGGCCTTGCAGGACATTTGAAAAGAGCTGAGTTCATTCTTAGTACAAAGGGAAGCCATAAAATGGGTTCCGGTAGGAGATAGATAGCCTGATGGGACTTAAGTTTTTAAAAGATCATTTTACGTGCATAAGTTCCCTTAATCCTCAGGCCTTATCCCTTGAAGTAGGCTTAATTATCAACATTTCCCAGAAGAGGAAAGACACCTGCAGATAACCAGTGGCCAAAGCTGACATTGGCCTGCACTGCCCTTGGTCTTCTGCTGGGCCAAGCTGCTCATGCATCCTCTCAATGTGCTCTCCCGCACCCCTAAAACACCCAGTTGCAGCTTTGACATTCCCTCTGATAAGGTCAGAGCACCTTGTCCATTTTCCTAAATTTTTCCCAGCCCCTTTAACTTACTCCTCCAGAGCTATATATTTTAGTACGTATTTTCTAGGCAAGGCATTCATTTCCCCAAATATGACTTTGCATTCTTAGGCCAATAGATCCTCTCACTAATTTGTGGCCATGTCATAGTCACAGTCTGCTGCTTCCCCCAGCTTTCCCCCCTAGGCCATACTGTGCATCCAGGGCAGGATTGCAGAATGCCTGGACACAGGGCTGGGTGCTGAGAGACAAAGATTTATACAGCAAATCAAAGTGGACTATTTCATGATACTTGAAAGGCCTGAAGTGATCCCTTAAAATTAGCTGCTTCTTACAGAATATAACCAAAAATAAGAACAGTCAATGACCTTTGACTCTACCTGTGAAACTGAGTCACAGAATTGACAATGCTTCAGTGATTATTTCTTTCATTTAAAAGTACTATATACCAGCCAGGCATGGTGGCTCACGCCTGTAATCCCAGCACTTTGGGAGACTGAGGTGGGTGGATCACAAAGTCAGGAGTTCAAGACAAGCCTGGCTAACATGGTAAAACCCCATCTCCACTAAAAATACAAAAATTAGCTGGGCGTGGTAGTGGTCACCTGTAATCCCAGCTACTCAGGGGGCTGAGGCAGGAGAATCAGTTGAATTTGGGAGGCAGAGGTTGTAGTGAGTTAAGATCATACCACCTGCACTCCATCCTGGGCGACAGAGTAAGACTCCATCTCAAAAAAAAGTGCTATATAGCATCTAATCCAGATTAATTAACATGACTCGAAGCTTGAATAACACTGAAATCTGCCAAAAATAAAATATTTAATCCTAGGAAACAAATATTCTAGCTTTTGTAACTTCCAATGCAAACCCTGGCCCGTTCTTCTCAAGATAATTGAATTGTTTCCAATAGTAACAAAAGTACATATGACGTCCTTCTACAGAGTAGCTTATATGTGCCTTACAGTGTGCTAGGCATTTTATATGTGTTCCTATTCCCCGTCACAGTAAACCTGCACAATAGGAATTAGCTCCGTTTTTTAGACATTCTCTAGGCAGAGAGGGTAAATGGCTTTCCCACAGTGGCTGTGGCAGAGTAGGACTCAGTCTGAGTCCTCACTATCTTGATCCAGAGCTTATAGGCATTTCTCTACCCTCAGTGATTCTCAGATGTTTTTATGTTTCAAACTGGCGCCTCATTGTATTGAGGTAATAAATAACATTCCATAAAATTCCAATCCAGCTCTTACATAGGAAACAGCTAAAAGTAAAGCTGCCTTGGCTTAATAGAGGGTGGAGTCCAGCCAACTGCCCACTCTGCTACCCCCACTACCACCAGAGGCTGAGACCTTCAGAGGAATCTGGGCCTGCAGAAGGTTTGGAAGCCACTGCTGTGTGTCATGCTATTCCAGCAGGGTGGGTGCCTCAGCTGGTCGTCTGGAGCCAGTGACAAACTGCCCGCACTGGCCACTCCTGCTGTACAAGCATCTCAGAATTTCAGGACACATCTATAGGATACAGGATGCTGCAAACACAGTGCTGGTCAGACTCCAGAATACTTTATTCAACTTTAGGCTCTGTCATGTAAAGGCGGAAGTTGGAAAATGTCATAAAATTGGTCATAAAAAGGCCAAAAGTTAGAAGGTATTAGCAGAAAAAGAGAGTATTCAAGATTATGAAACCCAGAAAACAAAGACTAAGGGTGTTTAAGTCCACATTGGCATTAGACGTAGGGTAGTGATTACTCATACTTAATTTTCTCTGATTACAGAATAAGAAAATAGTTTCCATTTCAAATTAAATGAATTTAATCTAAACAGGGAACATTGCTAAACTCTTAAATTGTTAGAATAAACAACTTCTTTCCATAGAAAAACTTAAAAGCGGAAGCAAAGTTTATAAATGAGGATTGAAGGTCTCCAAAGCATCTTCAACCCCAGTGCTTCCACATGGAATCAAGGGAAGCCTGTTCTGTGACATCTAAAGGTGCCACCTCTATCATACTGGGAAAGTCCTCAGACTGAGGAGTCAATAGTCTCTGGAGCAGGTGGATCTGCATTCAAATCCCAAGTTTCCCACTTCCTAACTGCATATCTTCATGCAGTTCCTTGGATGTTCTAAGTCTCCATTTACTCAAGTGTTAAACAGAGAAGATAATAGGACCTACATCTTAGGGTTTCCATGAGGATAAAATAAGAAAATCTATATAAATTACATGGTTCACTTGAGGACATTATGCTAAATGAAGTAAGTCAGTCACAGAAAGACATGTACTGCATGATTCCACTTATAGGAAGTATCTAGAATAGTCAAATTCATAGAATCAAAGAGTGCCACAGTGGTTGCTGGTGCTGGGGGAGGGGAGATGGGGAGTCAGTATCAACAGGCAGAAAGCATTCCTCAAACTACATGAATTAACTCTGGAGAGCTGCTGTGCAACGCTGGACCTAGAGACAACAGTACCGGATTGTGCACTTGAAAGTTTGTGAAGATGGTAGACCTAATGTTAGGTGTTCTTATCACAATAAAATTAAAATTTTTAAATTCAAAATTTTTAAAAATAAACAGCATGGCTTAGCATCTTGAACATAGGAAGCACTTTAAAATATAAACTATAAGTATTATTATAAATTTTATTTTTAGTATTCGTAGGTATGCAAGGGAGGAAGGAAAGATTTTTGTGTCATTGAAAATTTAGCTGGATGATATTTTCAGTTTTTCTTTATATCAAAGGCTGCTTTGATATGAAGAAATTTTTTTTTTTTTTTTTTTTTGAGACAGAGTTTCACTCTTGTTACCCAGGCTGGAGTGCAACGGCACGATCTCGGCTCACCGCAACCTCTGCCTCCTGGGTTCAGGCAATTCTCCTGCCTCAGCCTCCTGAGTAGCGGGGATTACAGGCACGCGCCACCATGCCCAGCTAATTTTTTGTAGTTTTAGCAGAGATGGGGTTTCACCATGTTGACCAGGATGGGATATGAAGAAATTTTAAAAGTGACATTAAAAAAGGAAAATTTTGTTTCATAGATGTATTTCTTTATAAAGATAAGAAATTATCTAGATATAAGCAAAAATGCATTCATCTGTAATTTTCTTAATTGAAATGGTCTTTATGAACCCTGCAAAGAGGTCCAAGAATATATGTTATGATGAAGGCTAGGGCTTCCTGGCTTAGGCAATTTTACATGCTATTGAAGGTCATATGGGATTGAGCTATTAAATAAAGCTTAAGGAAATATAGTTTTTCCATAGACTCGGGAATTCCTAGACATGGATCTAAATTATTATGCTGAAAACAATGTATAACTTTAAAGCAATGGAAATAGTTTCATTTTACCATATAGACCAGAATTTATATTCCCAAAATGAGTGTTGCATTCAAAGTAGTCACCTTGGGAGGCTGCAAACTTATTTTATTATTGCTCCCAGAGTTCAAAAAATTTTTGAAACTCCTCTTTTAGAACTGTAGTCAGAAAGAGTTTATGAGCCACGTTAGAAAATCAATCTTATTACATTGTTTTCACACCTCATTCTTTCCCCAAACATCACCCAGATATAACCCGCAGACTTGGCTTCAAGTGACTATTAGCTGTTTCCAAAAATCAAATTCACCATTAAAAGACAAAGAGTTGTCTGAGGATATGTAAAACAGTGTCCCACAGACTCTGAAGAGAATTTCAGTAGAGAAGTTCCCAAATATCCCAAATAAAAGCGGCATTATAGAAATAAGTGTACGGCTTCTCAGAATTGCCAACCTGGAAGGAGATGGCATTTGGATAACTATGTTCTAGTGTATAAAATAAATGCAATCGGATTCATGACTTTAAAGTCAAATATGAGATTTTGTCTCTACCTTAAGGAGTAGTTCCTAAAGTACTAAGATTTATAAAGGACAAATGGACACCTTTTTTTTTTTAACGTATAAAACGGGACAATATTGAATTAAGTCAAGAAGGTTCTCTGTTTCTGTAATGAATAGTAAAGAAGCACAATGCTTAGTTCAATTAAATGAAAGTGGATTTGAAAAAAATATAGTTTCTTTTTACAGAATGAGACAAACTTACAAATATCATGCCATGTTGAGCTATGGAGACAAATACTGAGTCTGAATTTGTAAATGGGATGGATCATTGTATGACTGTTAACATAAAATTTGCAGCTCTGTAAACCCAGATCATGATTTAAAGATAATAAAATCTCATGCTTCAGGGTATAAGTTAATCACCTGCATGGACCAGAAAGAATTTTTTCTTCCAGAAGGAGCAATGCACAATTGAGTAGGTGCATAAATTCTGTTTAATTTTCAATGCATCAAGTATCGGTCAGTGCTGAAAACAAGAATCAAATTAGATGGACTATTAATTTGATTTGGTTCAGCAACTTTTATATTGTTCTTCTTGCTGAGTTTTATGTCTTGTGTTTATACTTTGCTATTTTAAATAATAATCACTTTGTCAATCTTTCATTTTTATTGCACATATCATCCCAGAATGGGGAAATTTATACACTATGCAGTATTATCTTCATTATACAAAGTAAATGGGATTGAAACTACCTTGGATAATCAACAATTTGGTTAGTAAGAGGTATCTTCAGGCTTATGTATATAATGTATCCTTTATACATTTTGCCTATGTCAATGGAATCCTCTACAGATAAGATTCAAAATGACTCTATGGTCCCCACCCTCACTTTTTGGCTTATAAAAATATCTTCCAGAATCTGGTTTAAAAGCAAATAGGAAAGAGAACATACTCAGAAAATAACAGCAAGAACACATTCCTCCCCTGAAAGTGTGGGATTCAAAGGTTGATTTTCAGTTGTCTACATGCTGGGAAACACATTTGTCAGGTAACCAACATGATATTCCATTGCTAAATAAAGGAGGTTAATGTGTTTGAAAGTGGAAACAAATGTGAATTATTTAGTATGTATAAGAAAATAGTTCTAATTTCTGAATGATAGGTATAGAAGTCTTCATTTGCAATATAATTGGTTAGCAAAATTGTAGCCTTGCTTTCACAGTTAAATTGGAAAAATATGACAGTAAGAGTATATTATGATTCCTTTGTATTTTCATTTAATCACATTATGAATTTATAGCATTATTATGAAAATGAACTTATTCTACCTATCTTCCAGAACAATAAAAGAGCTCTGTAATTAATAGATGGTCTATTGTACTAGTCTGCTTAATAATTAATGAAAAGCGAAGCCAGAAGCAAATTTTTCCCCATCTAAATGAGTTGGACCGTTACATAAAGAACAAATTCCCAAAATACAGGTGAAACTGAACAAGCTGCCTTGCTGCCACCATTCCCCCAAGAGCAGTGAGGCATAAAGGGCAGTGTATCTAACCAAAGGACAGAGTGGAAAGCTGTAATTTCTCATCACTTCAGGAAGGGTCTGTCTCCTGCCAAGAGCAGAGAAGAGCCTGAGGAAGGTCAATCTGATACTCTGTGGCTTTTCCAAGCCTTCAGATCCTTCCTCACTCCATGAAAAGAGGAACGGTGTGTCTTGTGAAGAGGGCAAGTCACCAAGGGCAATGGTGGCTGCCTGGAGGATTGTTCAAAAATAGTCATTCACTCCTTAGAAAACATAATTGTTTTTTTATGTACTTTCCACTATGCTAGATGCATGGGCTACAGAAATTGAAGTCCCTACCATCAAAAAAAGATCCCCTTTTTGAGGAATCAGGACATCTTTGTGAAAAGAGACTACAGGAAGAGAATTCATATTGGAACACCTGCCACATTTAGGCAGATAGCTGCATACATTATTTCTGTTGTCACATTCAATTATTAGAAAATAAAGGGAAAATATATATAACTTCCTCAAATGCTCCCTCACTCTAGGTTAAAAATTATGTTTCAAGTGTTGTCTGAATCATCTTTGGAAATCTGTACTTTGAGTTTGCCAATAGTTCTTTTTGTGATTAAAAGTTACTGCTCTTTCAAAGTAGGTTGAGGGGGACTGGTCTTTGCACACTTTGATATGGAAGACATAAATGACAAATAAATGGCTAGATAGAAAAAATATTTTGTGTTTAATTATCCATGAGAAAAGAGAGCTTTACAAGGTTGGCAATAAAGTATCTCAAATTAGGTTGTTATCTGTTGACTTCTATAAATCTGTGTGTCTATTCCATCTCTACATCTGCCTATCTATCATCTATCTATATGATGGACCACATACTACTATTTAAATAGTAGAATTCAGGAGAATTAGATTCATTATTTATTTTGAATTTGATATTTTTATTTTCTTAGCCAAAAGTTACCTCATTATCTAGTAATGGTATATATAGAAATTAAAAATGAAAACATTTTTACAATGACACATATTTTCTACTCTTGATCACAAGAATGTGATTTGTATTATTTTTAAATTAAAAATAACAACTATAAAGCAAAAAATAAAGATGCACCAATATGTATCCATTTTTATAAATATGATTTCTTTCTGGTATGAAGTCAACACAGTCTGTAACTAAATATGAAACTAGCCCTTCTGTGATAGGCTATATAGAGGGAATTCAAACACAGTGAACACTTTTCCAGATTACTTAAACACACAGACTTAACACATAATCTTCCTAGCATATACGGAATAATTTTTGAGGCATATCAATTGCAGTACATGTTATTCTGATGTGGAAGTAGTCACTGTTCACACAGCCTCCATTAACCCATTTGACCTTTTCCTTGAATTGTTAACTATTTTGCACATCAACAAGAACTTTTAAATGGAAGCCAAAAAAATGTACTTAAAACTTTTTTTTTTTTTTTTCATTAAAAGCCCCTTTCAGAAGCTACATTTAATAAAGCTTCTTTGATCTACAAACCGCCCCTTAAAAATTTTTCATGAACAGTTTTGGACATTTTTAACGTGAATACTGAAGATGCAGTCTAAATGTGTGTTCCTATTTCTGAAGGCTGCATCACTGTGACACAGGGAAAAATGGCAGGATGAGAGGACTCTCCAAAGGGGCTGGAATTATTTGGGTACACCATACTCTACACTGTGCATGGAGTATTCAGAGTCTCACAGGACCCTAGGTTTCCATGGTTTGACATACTTTTACAACTTTTACAGGTGTTAGATGTATCCTTTTCTTTCTTTCTTTCTTTCTTTTTTTTTTTTGAGGAGTTTTTTTTTTTTTGACCAGGCTGGAGTGCGATGGCGCGATCTTGGCTCACTGCAACCTCCGCCTCCCAGATTCAAGCAATTCTCCTGTCTCAGCCTCCTGTGTAGCTGGGATTACAGGCATGTGCCACCACACTTGTCTAATTTTGTACTTTTAGAAGAGACAGGGTTTCACCGTGTTGGTCAGGCTGGTCTCAAACTCCTGACCTCAGGTGATTGGCCCACCTCGGCCTCCCAAAGTGCTGGGATTACAGGAGTGAGCCACCATGCCTGGCCCAGATACATCCTATCTATAATGACAGAATGTGGGGCTAAACATCCACCCACCCCAGCCTGTTCCTCCCGGGAATTAGCAGACACACGCAGCAACATTCTTACTGTGGTTTTCATGAAACTTGCCTGCATTATTGAAGACAATGAGTTGTGTTGCTAACAGTGTTGTAAGCTGCCTGGTGATAAAGAAGCTAACCGGCTTGAGTTTCATGCAGTCGTGTGCGATGAACCCATTTCTCTATGGGCCTGTCTGTGGGTTGCCTGGTGGTACACTGAGCAGAAGGACCCCGAGAGTCCTCATGGCTTAGTGCTCCCTGCAGTGCAGAGAGTAGCCAGAAGCTCACTTCAACTTGGGAGCTGAATAAGCATGACGTCGAGATTGCAGAGTAAAAGCATATAGGCAACCTCAAGACCTTGTTTTGGCAAACTGATTTCTTTTCTCCAGTCCATTTTATCATTTTTTTTTCTTTCCAATTGGTTCTACCTTCTACCTTGTATTGTTTTGTTAGTCTCTTCCTCTCAGGAAATGTAGGAGGTAGGTCCAGGCCCATGAAGAAATGCCACAGGGTTAATTCTTGATTCCTTTCAGCCTTTACTGAAATGTTCAGTTTTTAAATCAATTAAAATATTACTAGGAAATGACCATATGAAGGTGTGGAAAAAATTAGGGCAAAATTATATTATTAATTTATGATGGGGTCTAAAATTTCTAAGAGAGATTATTTTTATCTACTTCATTATGGAGGACAATTCATCACCAACTTCATTTTAAAACTCAGGGTACGTTCTGCAGTACTTTGAAGAGCATATTAATGTAGTTTTATATGACTTCAGAAAGGTATTTTAGAACTCTGTTCTTCCATATCCATTTCCATCAACCAGCTTTGTTTTCTTTGTGCAAATATCTAGGCCAAGTCTCTTTCAGAATATAAAAAAGGAAAAATTAAAAACTAAACCTATAATCTATAGAAGAACTCCGGAACTGAATTACTTTGAAAGTAAGCTTCACGTGTGTTTCCCATTTGGGCATTCGCGGCATCTGCCTTCCCCCGTCGCCCCCCTCCACAAACCCATCTTGTTACCCTCATTTGGATGATGAGAAAAGTCACCAAGTTAAAACATTTAGGCAAAGGAACAAAATGGCATTGCAGCTTGTTTTCAATTTCATAAAAGGGATAGAAGCTGTCTTGGATCAATCACATTACAAATGATGGCGGAGGAATTCCGAGACCAGAGAGTCCAGGATAGTCATGGGTATGGATTCCAGGGAAAGTGCCTGAGTAAATCCACAAAGCGTCATACCTAGAATCAACATTCATGTATCAGCCTCCCAACTCTGCTCATTTGTGTCCTCCACAGAGCTACAGCGAACCTGTTGACGTGAAGACATCTCAACCTCCTCAGCTGATCAATTCGAAGCCGTCGGTGTTCCATGGGCCCAGCCAGGCCCACTCGGCTCTGTACCTAAGCTCCCACTATCACCAACAACCAGGAATGAATCCTCACCTAACCGCCATGCATCCTAGTCTCCCCAGGAACATAGCCCCCAAGCCGAATAACCAAATGCCAGTGACTGTCTCTATAGCGAACATGGCCGTGTCCCCTCCTCCTCCCCTCCAGATCAGCCCACCTCTTCACCAGCATCTCAACATGCAGCAGCACCAGCCGCTCACCATGCAGCAGCCCCTTGGGAACCAGCTCCCCATGCAGGTCCAGTCCGCCTTACACTCACCCACCATGCAGCAAGTAAGTGTGGTGGCTTTGGACTTCAAGTGAGCACCCCTATTCTGAAGTGTGGTGGCGGGGGTGGGGAGGCATTTTATTCAGCACAGGATGGGGGATATTTGTTTTCTGTCCTTCTTTTTAAGTCAAGAGAGCACTAAAGATACTCAACAAATATCTGCTTTCTGCAAAATGTAATTTACAAGTGGTGAGTTCGTGTGGTATTATGCCATCACAATTGACAGTCGCTTCTTTTCATAATCACTGGTTTCTTTCCTGTGATACCCATTTTGCTTCATGTTTCTAATCATTCTTCTTGTTTTCTGTTTCTTGAGTAAAGTACATTTGTTATTTTAAGATACCAAGTGCTGCCGAATCTCTTTGGAATAGAGAATTCTACAACTTTTTAAAAAATATTGTTTGGAGACGAGAAAGTCTTGACTGTTATGCCTCCTGAGTCCAATAAATGCTAAAAAATGAAATCGGGTCCAACACCAAATCTGGTAGAACCCTGAAAGTCCTAAGAACGGAACATTTTAACCAGGGATTTATTTAAAAATGGATATCTGGCTTCTGCATAAATTTAAAAAAACACAGGCAATTTGGAAGCCTCCCTACCCACTCCCTGATTATTGAAACCATTTGTGTGCAATTTTAGCTTAACTTTTCTTTGAAATCAAATATTCCTTTTGGATTTTGGTGTTATTTTAAAGTTTGAAAATTAGGCTCAAACAATATAAACTAAACCGAACAGAAGGCATCCAAAAATCCTAAAACTATTTTTTAAATTTTATTTTAAAAAATAAAAGCAGCTTTGCGCATTGGCAGTATCACAGCCAATAAAGTTTATCTGAGGTGCGATTATTGCCAATTGAAAGCTTCTCCCAGTACCCTGCCATGACAACTTGCAGTATAGTTGACATTGGCAATCTTTTATGGTCTCTATGGAGACTGAATATAATTTTTTAAAAAAATAAAGTAAACATTACAAATCACATGAAATTCAGGTATCACTTACATAATCCAATTACTCTATTGTTCTTCAAGCTGTAAGGATATAAGGCAAATACAGCTTTTCTATGGAATTGATGTCTACTTCTCTGTCAAATTTGAATCTATAGTTGGACTGGGTAGATAGAGAGGAAGGAGAGGCAGAAAAAGAAGTCAAATATACATAGTCCCAAATTCATTATTATTATTATTGACAGGATCTTTGAGAGCTCACAATAACAAACCCAATGCTTTTAATACACCACCTCATCTTTGATTCTCAGAAAACTTATAGTGCAGGTACTAGCATTATCTACCTTTAGAGGAAGACACCGAGGCTTGGCAGAGTTAGGTCATGTGCTCATAAGGTTAGAGCTGGAATTCAAACCCAGTTCTGTTCAAAACTCAGAGGCTGGATTCTAAAATGCTAGGCTTGCTGCATCTCATTCATAATCGGTCTTATAGACTTATTCTTTCATATGAGAAAACCTGTTTCTCCTAAGAATTCAAAGGATCTTTAAATTCTGGTGAGTTCTAAAATCAAAATCATTATGAGAACAAAGGGATTCATCTTACCGAAGTCTTTCTTGGTCCCTAAGCCAAAGATAGAGTTAAGCTATGAAAACTTTCTTATCTGCATCCAACAGACTAGTTGTTGATTCACTGGTGAAGAAGAGGATGTGGAAAGCCACTTCCTACCACCCTGCCTTGTCTTGAGAAGTTTATGACCAAGTTATATTCTGAGGGTTCAATTCCTACCCTTCCCATTAAACATCACCTTCAATTAAAGGGATATTCTTGGGTATCCATGCATCTTAATGAACCAGTAGTGTTTGCATGAAGAATTAATGGTTTGAAGGATGCTACCCTTAGTTGGTTGGTTGACCTCTGTTTGTGGGTGCTGCCCGGCTAAGGACCCATGTTTTGTTTACAGCACTATAGTTGGGATCTGTTTCTTCCCAGAGTTAAGAAACCAAAAGTTCAGTTTCCTCACCATGCTGAGGCCTGGAGCTCTGTGCAGAAGAGATCTTTTTTCTGTTTTATCCCTCAGAGATTATTACTTTTTCTATTTATGCTAACACCAACACCTTGGATGATATGGCTGTGATCCTGAATAGTTTTCAAATATTTCAGATTTACATAAGGCCACACATAAAAATCCAAGAGATTTGTCTTTCCATAAAGAATCTTAACTGAATAAGAAAAAATAGAACAGATTACATTGGACAAGTTACTCATTATCCTTTAAGTCAGTTCTGTTAGTGTATCCCAAAAAGTGTGCTTGCTGAGATGGGAAGACCTGATTACAATTTACCCAAATGGCATAAACCCAAAGTGGAGAGTAAATCACTCCAAAGACTACATTGACTAAGAACTCTTTTTAACAATGCCTTGATCATGGTAAGTAGTCAAAATAATTGTTGAGTAGTGAACAAATAAAGAAACAAATGAACAGTAAAAGTGTTTCCTCTGTTAGAAGAAATTAAATATCAGGTTGTAGAATTTCAATTTCAGTTCCTTGAAAGTTTTTAAAAATGTAATTGATTCAGCTGGGTGTGGTGGTGGGTGCCTGTAGTCCCAGCTACTCAGGAGGCTGAGGCTGGAGGATCACTTGAGCCCAGGAGTTCTGGGCTGTAGTGCGCTATGCCAATCAGGTGTCCACACTAAGTTCAGCATCAATACAGTGACCTCCCGGGAGCGGAGGACCATCAGGTTGCCTAAGGTGGTGTGAACAGGCCCAGGTTGGAAATGGAGCAGGTCAAAACTCCTGTGCTGATCAGTGGTGGGATCGTGCCTGTTGAGTAGCCCCTGCACTCCAGCCTGGGCAACATAGAGAGCCTGTCTCTAAAAAAATAATAAAATAAAAATAGTCAATAAATAAATAAATTTTTAAAATGTAATTGATTCAAAAAAAATTTAATTAAACCCGTAACATGTACTGGCACTGTCTAGGCTCTGGAAATTGAGTGATGAGTGAGAACAAGTCATGAGACCCCCCCCATGGAGTTGGCAGGGGAGGGATGGCAGTGGTTATATGATAAACAAATAATGAGAAAAATTAAACTGGAAGACAGACTGCAGGGTGCATGGAAGAAGGACAGAGACTTTAGCCAGGATGGACAAGAAAGGCCCCTCTCAAGGGTTGGCACAATGACCTGAAGGATGAGAAGAGGAAGCATGCTTTAAATACTGGAAGGTGGGAAAGGCATGGAGGACCTTCCCACAGAGAGCAGCAGCCAGGAAAGGGGACTGTAGGCCAGGAGAGCCAGTCTGGGGAGGAGCACAGGAGTTTTGACCCAGCCTAGAGATGGGAAGGAGGCCAGTAGAAAGCAGGGGAACAAAGAGAGAGGTAGGGGTAAGGTCAGAGTCAAGGGCAGGGAATTGGAGTGGGATCCTGCAGGTGAAGGGGACTGGTATCCCCAGAGAACTATTCATCCTAAAATCAGGATCAAAAAGGGAGTCCACTACCCCACATATGAGCCATCAGTTAGTCTTCAGCCTGGAGATGCAGACCCGAGTTGTGGATAAAATGTGACCTCTCTGATTCATCATTCAAACCACCTTTATGCTGAAGACGTTTGCGTCCTCATGTGGGAGCCATGTGCATATCTCCAAACACACACACGAAGGGGGGGGGGGAAGTTAACAGCAACTGTATTTTTAAAATAATGTCTCATATCCCAATATTACTTTAGCTATTTTATTATCCTTTTGAAAATGAATGTATCCTGCAAAATGATTGTGTAGTCTGCCAGGAATAATAGTTTCATTTTTTTTCTGAAATAATATTTTATACACTGAAACCACAGACCTGTGCTTTTTTTTGTCCAGTTTTCTTCCTTTTTCTTCTGCTCACGAGATTGTCGAATGAGGTCAAGAGAAAAAAATCATTAATATCTGTCAACTTCCTTTATAACCTTAAGAAAAAAATCTTTGTATGATATCACACAGACAGATTTTCAATTTCCTTGTGTAATAAACAGCTGCTTTAGGATTTGGGTGTAATTTAAAGGTTTAAAAAAAATCACATTGAGATTGATGAATAAATCAGTTGCGAAGACAAAAACATTGATGCCTGTTGAAAATACCTCTCCAGACAGGCAGGAAATGAAATTAGTTCCCAGTAAAGTGTGGATATGAGGATCACTGTTTGGTTGTGCTGCAGGCTTTTTCCAACTTGCTCTGGTGGCACAACAGAACTGTGAGGGCTACAGAAATCTAATTAAAGAGCAAATGTCCCTTCTGACATCAAATTAATCTTTATCATGTTTCCTATTTTTATTTCAATCTGGCACCAGAAAATGAAATTTAAAATTCCAGGCATGCTACAAAACAGTTGGTGATTTTTCTCCCGAGTATTAAAATGCAGAATATTCAGTCTTGTTTAATTAGACTACTAAGCAAACATTTTTTCAAAAAAGGTATATCATCATGTTGTTTCATATTTACACTAATAATCAATTTTTACTGAGTGCTATGCTTTGACCTCAGCATCTCTTTTAGTGTTCAGAGGAATGTGTCATTTTCTAAATTGAAAGGAAGTAAAATAATGTGAACTAATATTACTTCAGGCTTTGCTTGTATTTTTCTCGGTCCTTATTTTGATATTAGTGATCTTCTTAAAATAGACTATTGAAGTTAACTGAAGTTTAAATCTTTGAACTTTGTAGCTACCACATAATTTGGGTTTTGTAAACTGAAGTCACTCATTTAATCTTAAATTAATAAGTTAATGTTTTCTTATTATTTTCTCACCCAATCTGAGGAATTTTTTTCATTGGGGAAAAAATGGCAGTTTCTGTTGTCTTTGTGTGGGGAAGGGGTGGACGTTCTTGTGTGGTTTCTGGTTTTTTTTGTTTGTGCTTGGGTTTTGCTTTTTCATGTTTCCACACCGTCAACTAAGTCAATATATTCTCGACTACTCCTGTTTTGAGACTTTGGCCTTTTAGGTTACATTTGATGAACTGTGTAAAAATCCAATATGGAGACCGAGCATGGTGGCTCACTCCTGTAATCCCAGCACTATGGGAGGCCATGGCGGGAGAATCGCTTGAACCCAGGAGTTAGAGATGAGCCTCAGAAACATAGCAAAACTTTGTCTCTACAACACATACACACACACCAAAAACAATTTAGCAGGGCCTAGTGGCAGCACCTGGAGTCCCAGCTACTTGGGATGTTGAGGTGGGAGGATCGCTTGAGCCCAGGAGGTTGAGGCTGCAATGAGCCGAGATGGTGCCATTGCCCTCCAGCCTGAGCGGCAGAGCAAGAGTCTGTCTCAAAGTCAAAACAAAACAAAATCCAATATGGAGAACTTTACACTAAAAAGATTAGCGTTGTCTGCAATGGCTCACACCATAATCCCAGCCCTTTGCGAGACCAAGGTAAGAGGATCACTTGAGCCCAGGAGTTCAAGACCAGCCTAGGCAACATTGCAAGTCTCCATCTCTACAAAAAAAATAAAATAAATAAATTAGCCAGCCATGGTGGCACACACCTGTAGTTCTAGCTACTTGGGAGTCCAAGGCTTAAGGGTCATGTTAGTCTAGGAGTTCGAGGCTGCAGTGAGCTGTGATCACTCGATTCTGGGTGACAAGGCAATGCCTCGTCTCTAGCAACAAAAAGATAGGAAATCCCTGACAACTCAACATTTATATAATCTACACCCTTCCAACAGTAGCATCAAACTCTCTGCAATAACCTTATGAAAAACCTGACTTATTGAGCCACTACTATGGGCTAGGTCCTGAAAATACTCAGTAAGTATTTGAAACACTCTCTGATCTCAAGGTGCTTACAGCAGCCTTGTGATGAGGCTGAGCAAAGGAAGTCAAAACAAGGCTCTTCTAAGAGTTTCCTCCTGCTCTTCGCCCAGCACCAAACTAGACGCTAGGGAAATATTTTGGAAGATATTTACAGCTTGAGGAACAGGTCATGTCAACATAGATAAACTTATTTTCCTTAAGCAAGCTGTGAAATTTTTTGGTCTGTGTGAGATAAAGTAACCAATCTGGTTGACTTCTCCATTTTTCAGTGATTTGTTTCCAATTATTCAGAGATTTGTCTTTGTCCATAGCTTACATGGAAATCAGTAATACTGGCTTGATTTGAATGGGAAATAAACTTAATATCTAAAAGCAAATAATAAGAAATGAGAATATTTAGTAGTAGGTGCCTTTGAGTCTTTACACGAGGGACACTCAAACATGAATAAAAGTCTAAGGAGATATCCCTAGTTATAAATCAATCTTCCCATCATCCTGCTGAGTCCTTTAAAAGTGAAAATTCAACAATATTATACCTTCAAAAGCTTTCTCCAAGTAAATAGAGAATGATTTGTTTTTTAATCTCTTGATTTCTTAGTGGTTAAAAACCATGGATGGAATCTGCTGCAGAGACAACCATGAGATTAATTAAGTTGCCTCTTTGGTCATTTCAGCAAAGCTTGCTTATGTTGCTCTTGAATTCACCAGAGAAGCTAAAAATAAATCTTAGTGTAGAATGCTTTTTGTTTACCAGCTATAGCTATATACTTCAGAGATTCTGTCCTTGAATTTTTAATAGCTTCGCTAGGATTAAAAGTCAACACTTCACCATGCCCGTGTCTTAGAAGAATCTTCCTGAAGTCTGATTATTGTTTGCCAGTTAATAGACTTTTCAATTAAAAAATATTTGCTCTGGGGCCGGGCGCGGTGGCTCAAGCCTGTAATCCCAGCACTTTGGGAGGCCGAGGCGGGTGGATCACGAGGTCAAGAGATCGAGACCATCCTGGTCAACATGGTGAAACCCCGTCTCTACTAAAAATACAAAAAATTAGCTGGGCATGGTGGCGCGTGCCTGTAATCCCAGCTACTCAGGAGGCTGAGGCAGGAGAATTGCCTGAACCCAGGAGGCGGAGGTTGTGGTGAGCCGAGATCGCGCCATTGCACTCCAGCCTGGGTAACAAAAGCGAAACTCTGTCTCTAAAAAAAAAAAAAAAAAAAAAAAAAAAAATATTTGCTCTGTCGTATACTTTTCCCTCCCTGTGTTTTCCAGTGGCAAGTTGTTTTGAATTTCTTTTCCCTATATTAGTCCAACAACTGTTAAAAAGCTTCGGTTGAAATTTTTTAGCTAAGAGAGAAATACAAATAAAAGAAGAAGCAGATGGTCCCTTTGTGATTGAATGAAGAAAAGGGATTTGAGAACAATATGTGAATAGGTGTAGTCTAATAAAACACTCAGCCACCTGCTGCCTGAATCCTTCAAAACAGATTCTGTTGCATATTCTGGGGATTAACTATTAATGTATCTTTGGGTTCGACAGAAAACATAAACTTTGAGGGGCTTAGGCCCTCTTCTCCCTTTGTTTTCATTGACTTGGCTCCTCTATATTTGAAATTGTTTCTCAGTTCAATTTATCTGCTCAAGGGTATAATTAAAGGTTTTCTGACACATGGTTAAATGAAGGAAAGGCAAGAAGAATGGACTTGTAGGCATCTCTTTTCTACCTTTGTTTTAAATTTTCTGGGCTCTTCCGACAGGCTTGCCCTCGCAGAGACAGAAGCAAGGGGCCTACTAGTGTGTCTGCAAAGAATGAATAAATATTTAGGTGCTTTTCTTCTTAAAAAGCGTTTTGATCTTTATTTGCGGACTTGCTTTCCCTTTCAGGGATTTAATCTTCAACCCGACTATCAGACTATTATCAATCCTACATCTACAGCTGCACAAGTTGTCACCCAAGCAATGGAGTATGTGCGTTCGGGGTGCAGAAATCCTCCCCCCCAGCCGGTGGACTGGAATAACGACTACTGCAGTAGTGGGTAAGCGGCCGGTCATCGCCACCTGGTGGTAGACAGCCCTCATAGCATGCATATCATCCCTAGTCGGTCGTTTGCTTGCTTCCAAAAACATGATCCCGGATAGTTTCACGTTCACGAAGGCAGAAGACACCAGAAAATGTTAAGCAGTCTTCTAGCCCTTCCAAGAATAAATGCCTTTAGATCACTTCTCCCTTTAGATGTAGGTTAACTAATTGCCCTTTCCTAGTGAACAACTCAAGCTGGAATAAATAATTCAAAGCCATCCATCCCCCATTGTCACCTGTAGCACAGGTTGCCTTATAACAAGGAATTGCCTTTTTTTCTTTTCATACAGGGGCATGCAGAGGGACAAAGCACTGTACCTTACTTGAGAATCTGAACACCTCTTCTTTCCACTGAGGAATTCAGGGAAGTGTTTTCACCGTGGATTGCTTTGTACAGTCAAGGCAGTTCTCCATTTTATTAGAAAAATACAAGTTGCTAAGCACTTAGGACCATTTGAGCTTGTGGGTCACCCACTCTGGAAGAAATAGTCATGCTTCTTTATTATTTTTTTAATCCTTTATGGACATTGTTTTTCTTCTTCCCTGAAGGAAATTTGGACCATTCAGATTTTATGTTGGTTTTTTGCTGTGAAGTGCTGCGCTCTAGTAACTGCCTTAGCAACTGTAGATGTCTCGGATAAAAGTCCTGGATTTTCCATTGGTTTTCATAATGGGTGTTTATATGAAACTACTAAAGACTTTTTAAATGGCTTGATGTAGCAGTCATAGCAAGTTTGTAAATAGCATCTATGTTACACTCTCCTAGAGTATAAAATGTGAATGTTTTTGTAGCTAAATTGTAATTGAAACTGGCTCATTCCAGTTTATTGATTTCACAATAGGGGTTAAATTGGCAAACATTCATATTTTTACTTCATTTTTAAAACAACTAATAGTTCTATATTTTCAAATATTTGAAAATAAAAAGTATTCCCAAGTGATTTTAATTTAAAAAACAAATTGGCTTTGTCTCATTGATCAGACAAAAAGAAATTAGTATTAAAGGAAGCGCAAACACATTTATTTTGTACTGCAGAAAAATTGCTTTTTTGTATCACATTTTGTGTAATGGTTAGTAAATGTCACTTAAGTCCTTTTATGTATAAAACTGCCAAATGCTTACCTGGTATTTTATTAGATGCAGAAACAGATTGGAAACAGCTAAATTATAACCTTTACATATGGCTCTGTCTTATTGTTTCTTCCTACTGTGTCTGTATTTAATCTTTTTTTATGGAGCCTGTTGCGCCTATTTATGAAATAATAAATATAGGTGTTTGTAAGTAAATTTGTTAGTATTTGAAAGAGGTTTCTTTGATGTTTTAACTTTTGCTGGCAAAAAAAAAAAAATTCACGCTTGGTGTGAATACTTTATTATTTAGTTTTTACAGTAACATGAATAAAGCCAAACCTGCTTCTCTTTTAGCAGCAAATTAAAGTAACCAATCCCTATTTCTGCATTTCTTTGGTTGATACAAACAAAAAAACTATTATATTTAAGAACTTTATTTCTTCATCCAGTATAACAGAATTGCCCTCCAAGTCACACAAGCTCCAAGTCTAAACAAACAGACAGGTCCTCTATCTTAAAAGGGTTGCTTCTTGGTTCTCAGCTGGTTCTAGTCAATTCTGAACCACCCCACTCTCCCCGCAAAAGAAAGTAAAAGTCAAACCAAACTTCCTCAAGCTGCATGCTTTTCACAAAATCCAGAAAGCATTTAAGAATTGAACTAGGGGCTGGAAGAAGTGAAAGGGAAGCATCTAAAAATGAAAGGTGAGTAACCAGACAGCAAAAGAAAAAGAGAAAGCCATCCAAATTTGAAAGCTGTTGATAAAAATTGAGATTCTTGCTGTCTTTTGTCCCTAAGCAAGTTACTACTCTTTCCGGAATTTCTGGGTCTTCCAAGAGAATTCTTAAGGTACCAGAGATTTGCTAGGGAACCAAAAGCGCTTGAGAATCTGCCTGAAGGCTTGCATAGCTTTCGCATTAAAAAAAAAAAAAAAAAAAAAAAAAAAAAAA